TCTGATTTTTTTCAGTTCTTTATATATTCTAGAGAGTAGTCCTTTGTCTGAGGTACAGCTGCTAAAATTTTTTTTTCCCACATTATAGGTTGTCTCTTAGCTGTGTCGGTGGTTTCTCTTGGAGTGCAGAAGCTTTTTAATAAGATGAGATCCCAGTTGTTGATTCTTTGTGCTAGTTCCTGTGCTACTGAGGTTTTGTTCATAAAGGCTTTTCCTATGCCAATGTCTTCTAGAGTTCTACCTTACTTCCAGCAAGTTTAGTGCTTCTGTTTTAGTATTTTGATCTTTAATCCACTTCAATCTTTATTTTATGCACTACTCTGATTTAAGCAAACTAAATCCACTGATAGTATTTTATTTCCATAACTCCAAAATGAAAACTCACAACTAACACTGTATGTTCCTGCCAACCAACAAGCTCAGTGATGATATTATTCTAAATATTCACCACTTTGACTCCCTCAACCTTGTCCAAGGAAATTACCATTGCAACATTGTCATTGGGATAACTGCTTTGTCTAATGAAGTCGAAATTTCCAGAGATTCAGAATCACGTAAATTAATTCCACATAACTGTAAAACTTAGTCCTTTATATGCTTGTAACAAGTATAGATTGTTATATTTTCCTGCAACTTAAGATTTTTATAGTAAACTGGCTAAATCTCCAAGTTCCTAAACACCGAAGCTTGCTTTGAGGCAATTTCTCCATGGTAAAACATAAACTCTCAGAGTGCAAGTTAATGTAAAATTTATCTTAGTTTGTGTGAGACCAAAGCGACTCCATTTTGTTAAAATCTTCCATTCTCCCTGGTTTTTATTACCCTCACACATATAATGGTTAAAATGTGTTTACTCTGAGACAGGAGACACAATCTGTAACAGGACAAGATTCCTAAGTTTATTACTCAGCCATCTGTTTACCCTAAAAACAAATGTTCTGGGCCCACTATCTATAGGACAATCTGTTAATGTGCTGACTATCCACACAGGGTGGTCGTGACTATTAGTCAGGATGTCTGCTGACCATCAGTATGTGACAGTGGGCCACTAACCTTTGTCCCCCTTTTCCCTTGTAAAACCTGTACGTAATCCCCCTCAACCCCCCAATGAGCCTAGCCAATCAGAAATCTACACTTCATGCATGCTAAGCACCAACCAATCATTGTAATTGCTAGATGAAACCCTGCTGTAACTTCTATAAAAACCCCGCAAATTTGAAATTCTGGGTTCTCAATTTCGATCCGCTGTGTCAGTGACAATTGAGAGTCCCTGCTTAAGCTTGAATAAATGACCCTCGTGTGCTTACATTGGAAATGGCCTCCTGGTGGTCTTTGGGACTTCGCAATCTGGGCACAACATTTGGGGGCTTCTCCAGGATCCCAAGACCTTCAGGATCTCTGTGCCGGAGGTTCAACACCGGCTGGTGAGTGTGGTTTTTGTGTTTGTAAAGTCTAGGCCCATTTTCTGGGAAGGTCAGCAGATGGTCTAGGCTGACGTGCTGCGAGGGCCGCCGACCTGGGATCCTGGAAGACTTTCCAGGATCCTTCTGGAGGGGATGGAGTGCCCCATGAGTACGAGTCTGTGAGACTCCTGGGGGGACAGTGCGGGTCGCTCCCGCGGCATGGCATGAGGCCGTCATCCCATTTTCATTGCCTCCAATCGGGCGGAGGATGATTTTGTCTTGGCTTGTGCTTTTCTGTTGTGTTTGTTTGTCTGTTTATTGTGTTGACTTGGACTGAGATGATGGGACAGACTGAGACTACCCCTCTTTCCCTCATGAAGGACCACTTCAAAGAGATTAGGGAGCGCACTCATAACCTAAGTTTAGAAATTAAAAAGACTAAGTTCATCACCCTCTGTAGCTCGGAGTGGCCCACCCTTGGGGTAGAATGGCCCCCTCAGGGAACTTTTGATTTACAGGTTGTACGCAGGGTTCGCAAAGCCATCCTTCATCCTGACCAGGTTCCCTACATTATCATTTGGGTGAGTCTAATCTATAACCCACCCCCATGAGTTAAGCTCTTTTTGCCTCCACAGAAACAACAGCAGGAGGTAATCCTGATAGCCTGTGAAAAGACTCCCAGAGGGCACAACAACAAAAGGCAAACCAAAACCAAGCCAACCGTGTCACTTTACCTGGTCCTCCAAAGAGGGACCGAGGAAGATCTCATTCCCCCCCCTTACTCTCTCTCTTCTCCCCCACAACAACAGGCAGAAAGAGAGGACCCGGCCCCAGCCGAAATTGGAGAGGGAGGGCCGGTTCCGGGTGCCAGCAGCTATGATGGCCCCACCCAGAACACTCACCACCAGCATGTTGCCTCGCAGGCAGGGCCGGCGGACTCTACTGTTTTCCTGCTGAGAGCAATAGGGCCCCCTGATGAGCATGGAAAGAGAAAGGGTCCAAGGACAAGCCATAAAATCAGTGTTGAAAGAAACAGAGGGCCCACTTGATAAACAACACCCAGCCCGGCCCGTGTTGAGGCACAACTTCTGTCCACCCATCCCCCATGTCAAGTTAATTCCTCGGGCGGGAGAGAAGCTCTCCAAAACTACCATTAGCATCTCCTAGCCGGCCTGAAGGGAGCCGCTCGAAAGCCTACCAATTTGAACAAGGTAAGCAAGGTCCTTCAAGGACCTGAGGAATCCCCTTCTGCCTTTCTGGAGAGTCTGTTGGAAGCATACCATACGTATACTCCAGTTGACCCAGATGCCCCTACAAATCCACAGGCAATTAATTTGGCCTTTGTTACTCAGTTGGCCCCAGATATTAGAAAGAAACTGCAGCGAATGGAAGGATTTGAGGGAGAGAATAGGAAAAAGTTGATGAGTGTGGAGATGAAGGTGTTTAACAATAGGGATCCTTTTGAAGATAGAATGGCTAAAAAGATAGGAAAGGCGAACATTTCAGCCTTGGCAGATGGAGGTTTTATCTGAAAAGAATACAGAGAAAATATTGCAAAGAGAAGGGCCATTAAAAGTAAAGTATGGCCCTTGTTAGAGAAGGATCAATGTGCATACAAGAGGGATTGTGAAAAGTTGAAAAGAAAGAGAGAGAAAGAGACTAAGAAAGAAAGAGACAGGGTTCTTCTAGTAGATAAAAAAGGATTGACGAGGCCAAGGTGGGGATCTCCAAACACATCCACTGACTCCAGAAAGCCGGCATCTGGATCCCTTGCCAGACAGTCTGGAATACACCACTGCTTCCCATGAGAAAGCCTGACACCTCAGACTTCAGACCGGTACAGTATTTACGGGAAGTAAACAGCCGGGTGGAGACCATTCACCCAACAGTACCAAACCCTTATACTCTGTTGAGTCTCATCCCTCCTGGTCATGTGTGGTACTCAGTATTAGACCTTAAAGATGCATTTTTCAGCCTGCCTCTAGCACCTGTGAGCCAGCCCCCCTTTGCCTTCGAATGGACTGACCCAGACACCGGAACAACCAGACAGCTGACATGGACCCGGCTACCACAGGGATCCAAAAACTCCCCCACTCTGTTCAGGGAAGCTCTCAGCAAAGATCTGCAAGAGGTAAGAAAAGTGTTTCCCCAGGCAACTATTCTTCAGTATGTTGATGACCTCCTGGTGGCGACTTCAACCAGTAAAGAATGCATTGCAGCCACCAAGGGGCTCCTGAAAGCCCTCCAGGAACTGGGATATTGGATGTCCTGGCAGAAAGCTCAACTCTGCCGGACCAAGGTAACCTACTTGGGCTATATTCTTGAAAAGGGAAAGAGGAGGCTGGCAGAATCGAGAGTATCCGCAATTCTCCAGATTCTGAAGCCAGGCTCAAAGAAACAGGTGCGAGAGTTCCTAGGGGCGGTTGGCTATTGCAGGATTTGGATTCCTGGCTTTGCTGAGGTTGCCAAACCCCTGCATGAGGCCACTGCGGGAGGAAATAAGCCCCTTAAATGGACTGAGGCTTGCCAGCAGGCATTTCAATTGCTTAAGACTGCACTTGCATCAGCACCAGCCCTGGCCTTGCCAGACTTAAACAAGCCCTTTACCTGTATGTGACAGAGAAAAATGGGGTAACTAAGGGAGTGATTACTCAGCTTTTGGGGCCATGGAAACAGCCTATGGCATACCTCTCAAAGAAGCTCGACCGAGTGGCCCGAGGGTGGCCTACTTGTTTGAGGACAGTAGCAGCAGCAGCTCCTTTAACCTGGGAAGCTGACAAATTGACCTTTGGACAGGATTTGACTTTGATTACTCCCCATGCCATTGAGCCCTTAGGCTCTGGAATTGGAAAAAAAAAAAAAAGGATAAATATAGTCACTGATAGCCCTTATGCTTTTGCCACCGCCCACGTACACAGGGAAATTTATCAAAATAGAAGACTGTTGACCTCTGAAGGAAAGAAAATCAAAAATAAGACTGAGATATTGGCATTGCTACAATCTGGTTGCCTTGAGAGGTCACCATCATCCATTGCTGCGGGCACCAGAAGGGGCTTAGCCCCAAGATGATTGGTAATAATGCTGCTGACCAGGTGGCAAAACAAGCTGCCCAAAAATCAGTGGGGAAGCAAATGGTTCTGCTTCCCACACCGGTACTCCCAGAAAAACCCGAATACACAGATAAAGTAGCGGAAATGAACAGGAGATGCTGGACTTGAGAAAAACATGGATGGTGGACAACTAAGGAGGGAAAGGTCGTGCCCCCAGCCGCTGTAGCAGAAACGTTGTTGCGAGAACTACATGAGTCTACCCACCTCGGTGAGAAAAAGATGATGGCTGCCTTACAACCCCATTTTGTCAGCCAGGGATTAGCCCAAAAGGCCCAGGACATGGTGAGACGATGCCCCACCTGCCTCAAGGTAAATGCTAATCAGGTAACCGGGCCCCCTGGGGTCCGACACAGAGGACTAACTCCAGGAGAACATTGGGAGTTGGACTTTACCGAAATAAAGCCTGGTATGTATGGGTACAAATACCTGCTAGTTTTTGTGGATACATTTTCAGGATGGGTAAAAGCATACCCCAAAAAGAGGGAGACAACAGAAATAACAGTTAAAAGGCTCCTGACAGAAATAGTTCCCCATTTCGGTTTGCCCTTAGCTCTGGGGTCCGACAATGGTCCAGCCTGTACAGCTAAGATATCCAAGTTAATTAGTAATGTCCTTGGAATAAAGTGGAATCTACACTGTGCCTATAGACCTCAAAGTTCAGGACAGGTAGAAAGAACAAATCGAACTTTAAAGGAGATTCTGACTAAATTATGCTTGGAGACTGAACTAGGTTGGGTAGAGCTTCTCCCTTTTGCCCTCCTCCGAATGAGGTGCACTCCCAAGCCTCCCCTCAATCTGTCCCCCTTCCAGATTGTTTATGGGCGATCTCCCCCAATCATTCCATTAATAAATGTAGAATTAAAGGGAAAATTTTTCCACCTTTGACTCCTTAAATCCTTAAAAGCAGTTCATCAGCTTCAGTCAGAACTACATAAGACATTACAAAAGAAAATGACTAGTCCAAATAAAAAACCTTTACAACCTTTACCCTATAAGCCGGGAGATTTGGTTTTTATTCGCAGGTTTGATTCCAAAACCCTAAAACCTCATAGAAAGGGACTGGTTCCTGCTGTCCTGTCAACTCCCTTGGCAGTGAAGGTGGCTGGACATTCTGCCTGGATACAGGACCCCCCCATGGATGTCAAAAAGGACAAATAGAAGGTTATCAGCCAACTAGGTGACCAAAAGCTAAGATTAGAGCGGGTTGGAGATGTTTTGTCTTCATGATAATATTCTCTGGGACACTGGCATTAATGCCCCCAAGAGGACTAGATCACACAAAAAGTGTATGGATTCAATTGATAAACTCGCTTAACTCATCTGATTTCTGCTTAAATGTTGATGTAAATTTCCATTATGTGCTGGGAAGCTGTCTCATTCCAGCATGCACCTCTTTAGAATTAATACGACCCTATACCCTATTTAAGGACATCCCAGGAAAAAATCTTACTTATCTAGATAGTTATAATTGGGGACATGACACCTGCCGTAAACCTAAAAATGCTGTCAAATTATATACGCCCAAGGTAATTATGTCAAACAAAACTGAATGTGCTATGTATGAAAATTGTACAACCAAATGTCTGAGGATAAAATGGTCAGAAGGGGTGTCCTGCCATATAAAATAAAAAATTGTGTAACAATTGCCATATCTCCCTGTCCACAGGATGGTTTTATACCTGTGAAAGAATAACCTTTAATTATATTCCAGCAAATTTAACCAAGACCTGTTGCTGTTTGAGCCATCTAGCTGTAGTGTTGCCAGACAGAACTTATTTGATTGTGCCTAACAGAACTAAACGTTGGTCACCTTACACTGCACCAGGATGCAATGATGACATAGGTCTGTTAACAGATGCTGAAGTAATAACCATGATAGCATCTTTTGTTGCCCTGCCTTCTATAGGAGTCCATGCTGAAAAGGCAGTATGAAAATTAGCTTGCAAGGTGGTCAAAGGGTTAAATGCTACCTCATCAGCCTTGGCATTAATTAACCAAGAGTTACAGGAACAGAGACAGGCAATCTTAGATAATAGAGCAGCAATAGACTATTTGTTGCTCCTCCACCACCAAGGTTGTGAAAGAGTAAAAAAATATGTGTTGTTTCAATCTTACCAATAATGGTCCAAAGATCAAAGAAAAGGTAAAACAATTAGAAGATCTGGCTAAAAAAATATATAATGAGGATGGTGGGGACTTGATGAAATGGTTAACTTTGTGGTTGCCCAACCTACAATGGTTAAAACAAGTTTTTCTTGTCATCATAGTTGTGTGTACACGCTTATTATTGTCATGTTGTTATATACAATGGATGCCTACATTTGTGCATAAGATTACTTAAATTCCAAAAATCAGTGGGGAATGTGGGACTGCATAACCTTTGTTCCTTTTCTCCAGCCCCATTGTGATTAAATGTGAGTTAATGGATAAAGATGCTTGTTAGTTTTGGGACACTAGATAAAAATCTGTAACAGACCTAAAGTCCCAAAGTAAACTACTCAACTCCTTGTTTGCCCGGAACTGATGTTCCAGGCACCACAATTTTTAGAACAAGCTGCAAATGTCTGCTGACCATCAATACGTGACAGTCGACCACTAACCTTTGTCCCCTTTTCTTTAATTCTATATGTTAACTTCCCCCTCAACCCCCTATAAAAACAGCCTCGGACTCTGAGCCAGCTGCCTCTCTAAGCTATTTTGCTTTGGGAGTGCCATCTGGCCAGACTAATAAAGATCTGTTTTATTTTCCAACTTGTCCAGTGTGTTCCTTTCCGGGTGTTCTTCACTGCAGTCAGCTCCTCAGAGCATTTGGTAAGGCTCTCAGTCTTACACAAACATCAGAGTTTCATATGAGAAATTTCATTTTGGGAAAGGTCTCAGATTTTCCTTCCCCCTAAAGAACTAGTAATTTTTTCTGCAAGAATAATTAGAACAAAAAAACTAATAAGACAGCCCCTTTTCCTATCAGTTTATTACCAAACACAGTCCACAAAATATTCCACTTTTCATATTCCATATTTT